GTTGGTGTTTTTGGATTCGCTGTGTTTACTTGTTGTTTTCATACCTTGTTGTTATTGCATAATTTTGTTAAAATTTTCGTCGTGATTACTTCTGAAGTTGCTTCGAGTATTCTACATCCGTGAATGAATTGATTGATGTTAAAGACGGCAGATGGGTCATATACACCGGGGAGGCTAGGCTAGTGCTAAGAATGACATGAACACGGAGATAATTGTTAGCTGTGGTCCCACACGCTGGGGAGCGAGAGTGTATGCGACTGAGGTTCGCATATGTCACAGTTACCAGAACTAAGGCAGAATGAGTGACAAGCGATTGCAGTGATAATTGATAGTGAATAGATAAAAGGATGTGCGAAGAGTATCATGAGGTGCTGCCATGGTCGCGTTGCGTTCTACAAGAGTCATTCTAGTAAGTGGAGATTGTGTTTCAAGATGTCAAGAGGATAACTTTAACTGGAAGGCGCAGGTCGTCATTGATGTGTGAGATTGCGCTGTGGGTATGCTTGTGGTGTGTTGGCTTTTCTGTTTGTTTTCCATTTCAGCTCTGTCCGTGTGACCCAGGTTCTCGCAATGGCATCCAAGTTAACGTGTATTGGTCGTGACGGAAAAAATGGATGGATCCATTTTTGACGTGGAGTGTCAATGTAGTTGAAGATTGAACGATCGATTCATGGTTGTTCGCTAAAACCCAACTTTCCTATATTTTTGCGGAGGCTTCAATACACCAGTTATCGTCTCATCGGCCGCTGTTCAAAAAGCACATAGAAAAACCGTCAGAAACCTTAGTTTATTATGCTGTTTATACGTTGGTGTTAGAATAAGGAATTCTCGAGTCGTCAATCGGTGTTTTGGTTTTTGCGTCCGTTAGTACTAAGCGTTTCTGAAAGGCTTCGAGGGACAGCGAGAGGCACGGCGTAGCAAGAGCTGGGCGTTAACGGTTTTTGAGACGTGATTGACGTGCCCACTGTGTGGCCCTGACACACAGCATGCTCCCGAATATCAGAAACAGCAAGACACCCTCCCGTCTCGACATAGTCTCATGCAGCGCTCCAACTGACAACACTGTTTCACCAAAACTTATCAAAACCATAAAGAGGATACTCCAGCCTAACCGACTGACAATATCAATCTTCATGAACTGGAGAATCCTAAGGTTATATCTAGAACATTAGGGGAAGATGGAATCACCAAAGGACCACTTGCATCAACTAACAAGCCTGGAAAAATAGCAAAGACTATTCAGACCCCAATGATGTCTAAAGTAACCGACCCCACAAAGGAGGAAAAGCTGTTAAAGACAAAACCTCGGTCTGAGGTCAGCCGATTGGACTGCGTTATCCTGTTCAATGTACCAGTGTGCAATGATAGTTTGCTTGAACAAGAGGATCTGTTTGATTTGGGAAGGTGGTCAATACTGCGCAATAAATAAGGCCTGAACATCAATTTAACAAAATTTTACATGCTGTACAAGGGTGTTTAAACACCTCAAGGCAAGCCACCTCCGTTTAGGATAACACTGGGGTCTGCCGAAGGGGCTGAAAGAACTCTGTTACTGACACAAATATATGCTACCAACAGGGGTTCCAGCAAGAGAACAAGACATAATGGGCCATGGGCTAACAGGCAAATAGCAAGGGAGCCACCAGAACTGACGCCCTCATCCTGGATGATCATACACGGTGTTCCGGAGCTGGAAACTGGTACTACCTGTGGAGAATACGTGCTTGATGCACAACAGTGGAGATGACTATGATCTCAGATTGCCTTTGATGCTCCTGGGGTAATTTCAGACTACCTCATCCCGCTCATCCCACGCTGATCAGCTTGCCGAGGCTGCCAGCTGTCAATTTCAGCTCCCAGGAGCAGTTGGCTGTAGTAATTTAACAGCAGTATGAGCACAAGGATAAAATTGGAGGACATATCCGATGGTATGAAAGCTGACTTCGGCCCCTAAGGAGGTAGCGCGCTGAGATCGCAATATATCCCCATGCCTCGTTGACATTAAAGTGGCGCAGCAATGAGAATGGCAACCAGTTTCATCCAAACGTCCCAAATTAATCTAAGGTAGAAACGACGACAAGCTGACTCCATCAGAATCGGCCAACTACTTCCAATATTAAATCAGCTGCCAGCAACCCACACGGCGTCACCTACTCTCCACAACAAGCTGAGGTGGTGAGACTCACTGTCAGCTGCCTGTAGGGTAATGTGAGAGGGCTGAGAAGAAAAGTATGTGAATTCAGAAACCTCCAGTCACATCTACACCTCAGAATTATACTCTTAACTAAAACTTGACCAACCCCAATATTGCCGACAACGAAATCAATATAAGTGGTATGGTTCTGGTCTGGTGAGGCAGGGATAACAAGGAAGGGGGCAGTTACCATATACTTAGACAAGCAGTTTAAATGAGTACGTGCAGTGGCCCCACCACTTGCTGACCTGCCAGACTCCATATAATGCCATTCCACTTAAGGCCACACCAAGCATTTATTGGTTGGAATCTATCAATCACCCATCTGTGGAGCAGGGCGAAACCAGCCACTGCTCAGCACTACCACAGGAATACTAGACTTGGATTATGACGAAATCATCCTAACCGGGGACTTCAACACCTTATCCACCAGCCCTGGCCGAGTGTGTGCTCAAGGAAAGATCTGTCAAAACCTGCTACTAACCAGCAGAGATGCAGGATTGACAGAGAATTCTGGAGACGACATCAGGCGAATGTCTAGTGGTAAGTCATCAAATCAATCCGAACTAGTGACCATTTACTAGTCGAAAACCTCCAAATCATGACCCCACTAGGCAGCAGCAACCACTCAGCTTAGTGTCTGATCTCGCTCGTCGTGTGCGCTTACTGCGGGATGGTACGCTATCCTGTCCGTACTATAGCACAGCCGACCATGCCAAAATGCGGAGACTTTGTCGAATGAAGTATGGCCCGTAGACTGGGCTGAGTTATCCATGGATGAACACTGAGAAGTGGTAAAGGGGATTATTCACACAGCAATCTCAGACATCCTGCTTCTAGTCACAATACCACCACAGAAAAGATACTCATGACCGAAAAGAGGGGCGCAGCGTATCCTTCAAGCAAAGTGGAAGGCTTAATCTATGTGGCGAATCACCAATAGTCAGATCAAACGACCACAATCCACATCCGGAACCCAGGAACCAATACATCATTGCAGCCGAGAGTGACAGGTCATTTCAAGTAAATCTCGCCAGAAAACTGCTGGAGAACCCCGAAATTTCGTGCCGATTCACGTACGAGAGAAGGCCTATCAGCCAGGGTGCACTGACTTTAACAGGTTCAAAAGGTCGGTATCTCTCTAGTTTGAAAATGGCCAAGACGTTTAGTTCGGAATTCGACAGACAGTTATTACCGGCATGTGTCAGATAGGTGGCGCTACTATTCTGCCGAGAGAAAACCAAGTGGCTGTGCTCCAAATAAACCCCACATTGGTATTAATGCAGTTGCAGATACATACATCCACTAAGTACTCAAGTTGTGGCAACGTTTGGACATCTGTTTTAAAACAGTGCACTGAAGCTGTCTGCAGGCACTTATGCAGTCTGCTTCAACACTTAATGGATTCAGGGAGACCGCCAAGGGAGTGGAATGCAGCCATTCTTTCTTCTATTTTAAGGGTGCGACAGCCAAAATTGCAGCAGTTATAGACCCGCAGCACTATTCCCAGTGGCGTCAAAAGTACTGGGATTTATAGTTGATGGTCACATCAGGGAAAACCTTGAAACATCTGGAAGACTGCGCGGTGGCTAATGACATGACTTTCAACCTGGAAAAGTGCAAATAAGTGAATTGATAAAACTGTAGGCTTCAGAATACAAGTTACACCTTGTACAAAGAAAAAACTTGTCCTTCACAACGTCTGAGCTTGACTTAGGTCTAGTTCTAAAGAATAAAAATGGACACAGGTATGAATTATCACGGGATGTAGCGGGGCATATGTGGCCATACACTTTGCTCATAGAAAGCTCGGTACACTCGCTTCTGAGCATTGGGGCTGTACAGAACCTTTTAGGAAGAGCCCGAAGACGGGAGACAAAAGGGCTGATGGGTCTCAAAAAAACCACATGATGAAAGGCTAGATAAATTAGGCCTCTCCACACTTAACTAGGCTTAGGGAAGACTTGAGTACTGCATACATGGTTACAAATGACCAAAATCAACCAAACAAATGTGCTCCGCGGTTAGGGGAGAATCCCCGAAGAACAGCTCACCAGAGGGAAAAGATATGAATGCTCAACCATCCTTCGAACATTTTGCCAGCAGATCTAGCTACTGCACCGTCCGTGGAAAGTTAAAGTGGAGGTTGGACAATTAAGCAGCGATACAGGGACTGTGTATAAAGGGACTATCCCTTTAAAACTTACTCATTATTAATGTGCAGACATCTAAACTCATCTTTTTAGATAAATTATAATTAGATATCAATAGTTTACACAGAATGTGTGTCGTTTTATGTCTCCTTGTTTTTAATTCTCTTAGTTCACATAACCTTCACTAATTATATCTGTTATCCCTACCACTGTTCTTTTGTTGACGACAGCGGATGACTAACCAGGTAAATGGTCGGCTCCATTCACAGTAGAGATACGGTCTTAACACACTGTATAATGCAAACAGCATATAATTAATCCCAGCACCACTCCTTTTGAAGTCAAACGAGGCTGTGACATTCGAGCGGCTGGACGAACCACACAGAAACTTAACAAAGAACAAGAACTTGTACCTTACAATCAAGTAGCGAGCACAAAGAAATCAAATTGGTTTACACTAGCCCATAAGAAAGCGATATGGTATATTGAAATGGAAGAACCAACTAATCAGAATTCTACCAGGGACGACGAACCTTTACAAACAATACGTGAGGATAAAGAAATTAATTTGATTTTACTCGACCTCGTAGAAACGATATTGATTATGAGATGCGACCTTGAGGTTCATATTTCAAACCTGTGCGTTTCACAGAATGACTGTCAACGATATCAAGGGGAAATCTAAAGAGAATGTTGTTGATAAAAAAAGTCCAAAGCCAGCGGAAAAGGTGGATGTAGCGATATTGGAAGAGGATGATGATTTTGAAGAGTTTCCAGCACATGGTAATCCGAGCAGTTAATCATAATTTTCGCAGCATGCTCTGGTGTTCCTGCTGGTGAAGAAGCTACACTTTGGGAAGACAATTGGGACGATGATATAGTAGATGACGAGTTCACCCACCAGTTGAGGTATGTTTGAATTGAAACCGTTATGCTTCTTGTCAGAGCTGAATTTCAGAAGCAGGGCAAAGCCTTTGTCGTTCCTGAAATCTCTGCGAATTTCGACTAATGTAATTCAAATGTCTATTAAAAATTTTCTCCAATAAACTCAATTGTTCTGGTTTGTTCGTTTGTTGTTTGATTGAGGACTTTGGTGAAGTACATTTGATATGTGACATGTCGTAAAAAGCCAATGTAGAGTTGATATCCTTGTCTGACCAAAAATGTAATCACCTACGAATACCCCATGTGAAGAGTTGTGATCAAGTTATTCTGTTATTTTGAATGTGGCTGGCGGTTATATAGAACTATACTTCGGAAATCTTGAAAATCAAAGGTGTCATTTTGTACATGATATATTTTTGTACCTAGCCAATAACTTATGTAACTCTGTTTGCGCTGAAGTGGTTAAAGTCCTAAAGTAAGTGACACTTATGATACGCTCATAGTCAGTGTTAATCGAACAACCCGGATTTATCACATAAGTACACTGAAGTACTTTGCTCGAGGTACGTTCTTAATTAATGCAGTTATGTGAGAAAGTTAAGCTTAAGTTGTCATCAGAAGATTTATCCATGTGATGAGAAGTACAGTGTGAATCTGTACTGATCGAATTAATATTACAGGTAGGGGATATACTTCAAGGCAGTCGAAGAAACGCTGCTTCACAACTTATCTCTAACTACATCATTTAGCCACAGTATTTACAGCCGTAGATTTCTTGACTTCAGTTTAGGGATTAGAAACTTAGTTCAAACTGTCTACACCAAAGCCGTTTTACCATCATACATAAATATGTGTTAATTAAGGTGTTCCCAATATCCTTTCTTAACAGGTGTACGAATTTGACCATAATCGTAAGATTGTAAACTCTATCAGTTTAAGGAGTGAGATTACACCAACGGTCATACCGTCTATTTCTAGTTCTATTGATACACTGCTGTGCTCGAAAGAACTGTAATAAGACTTTCGCACTTCTTTGTATAACCTTTGAGAAGACTTCCCTAGATTAGCTGGTCAATATTTAAAGTAATTATATGTCTGGCTCACCTTCATGTCTACTTAGATTTATAAACCCATGGATTTGATTCAAGGGTGTTTGATTTATTCCTCACATTACAGTGCATTTAACATTCTTCACTTCGGAAGACTAGTTTACCTTTACATTAGATGACAAGCGCTTAATGGTATGATATAAGCGTGCAATACAAGCATCTGTTTGGCGTTATGCCTGTATTTATTCGTAGTTTTCATTTTCTGTGTGTGGGCTGAATTTTTATATTGTATGATTGTATACTGCATCATCATTTTTTTAAGGGAAATCTCTTCTAGTAGTAGAACTGAAATAAGTTGTATTGTGATAGTTAACGTTAGCAGGAAAAGGATTCACTTTATTTCTTGGTACCACTATGACATTGGAATAGTGTTTATAGTTAGTTTGCATGTGTCCCACTTTTTGGAATTCCAGATAGATGTCTATGAGCTTTATAAACGATATTCGTGTTGTCACCTTTTTCCTTCACCTTCCCAGTGGAACATAGGGCCTCAAGCTAGCGGCTTGAAGTTTCTATAACAGTGTTTAATTTTACAGGATGGGGTTGCTAGCCTCATGCCCAACCTTTCCTCTTTACCAGCATTATTTCTGGCTTGGCGAGGTAAAGGAGTGCGTCGGTGGCTGGGGATCGAACCCCGGACCATGTGCATGGTCGGCGAGCGTCCTAACCGCTATGCCACCGACGCACGTTGTCATTTTAAGGTATTTTAAATGAGTTTAACTCATCACTTGACTTTTAAGTAATGGTCCACGTATTCATACTCTACACCATTTACTTCGATCTGGAAAACTGAATGGTGTTATAAGTTCAGGCACAGTCAAGTATAACTCATAATTTGGTATAAAAACACACCAAACTATTAGGTTACCCCGTGTTACATATTTTTGTAAGTTTGAGATATAACTGTTAGGTTATTTTATTGGAAGATAACAGGTACTTTTTGCTAGTCTCCTTTTTCATTGTTTTCTGAGATCCTTTTCGTATATACATACCTCGGATGCTTGTCCGTTTGGTTTTAATGTATTCCCTAATATATCGGAAGTGTATTGAAGTAACAGTTGTAAAATGGCATTCTGAAACGTTAAATGTTAAATACTGTGTAACTTCCAAAACCTGGTGTTCCTTATGTCTTTTATCAATATGACTTGCTTTTCACGTGTTAAATGTCATATTGTGCAAAGAAGCTTGAATAGATCAATGTGCAAAATTGACAACTTGTTGTAATGCTTGCAAATAGATCTCATCTTTTTGACCTAATTTTTTTCTGTTGTAGAGATACCATTTATTGTAAATATGGATGATGACTCTCCGATTAATTCACCATATCACACAACTGGGCCATACTCGGATACTAGTTTTGAAGATATGTCCTCAGAGCACAGCTCAGATTCATCCTCAGATGATTTCAGTGATATAGATTGGGAGTATAATGAAAGTCTTATAAAACCTGAGTTGGCCGACGGTTCGACGAATTCTCCAGAGGCAACAACATCTTACTCTGAAATCAGTGGATTTTATGGACATGAAGAAATTAAACAGAAGTTAGAAAGTATGAATTATTGCTCACCTCAAAAAAGTCTACCTCTCTCTGATTATTACATGTCCTTGGATTCATCGAGTGACGAACCTGAGCACAAGCCACAACCGTTTGTGCATTATTATAATGATGACAGTAGCTCTGATGAAGCGAAGAGAGGTGAAAAATCGGAAGAAGAGGTGAAATCGGTGAAAACGACTTTCAAGCGAAATATGAATTTTAATACCAAAATGTAAGACTACAGTGAAATGTTGTGATTTGAATTTAGTTACATTATAAAACACCAACGTCACGTATATATATGTTTGTCATCAACTGAATGTTTTGAAAATTAGATAAAGTGCTACAGAAACCCTGTTTGTTCCAGTCTTGCTGTGCTTCACTTTATTGATGAATGAATTCATTTTCATAAATTCAGTTCTGTTGATAATAACAAGAAAGTCTAAATTTATGGCGGTATGACAGAGATATCATCGACGATCAGATATAATAGATAGAATGGTCATACAAGATCATGATTAGAAGAAAGTGTTTTACATTGTGTACATTATTCGTCTTGCCACTTTTCGATTGTGACAAGATTTTCAGCTTAAACTGTAGAGTCCGAAAGAAAGGAATATCGTATGAACCTGTCTTGGTAATCCGCAACTGCGGGAACATAGCTGCCAAATTTTCTGTGCTGTCTTATGGATCGCATTTCAAGTCAAAAGCTCGACGGGTGATTTTTTGTGACAGTGACCGGTATCGGCCTTGGCGGTCAGGTAGTATCTCATTTGTTGTTACCTATATTGTACGAAGTTTGTGTTTGAAATTGGAAGGATGAAATAAGACTTGGAATCTTTAGCATGGAGTAATGGAGCATTTATAGGCTCAGCGCTCAGTACAACTATGTTTTATTTTGAGGCACTATTTCGTAATTTGACCAGTTCGGTTGTCAATAAGGAGGATGGTTGGATGAAGTGTTATGTCCAAACTAATGTTAGCTAGTTAATAATGTTGACTGTATTTCAGCGGATATGGTGGCTTGAATATAAATACTTAAAATTTCGTGTTATTTATAACTTTCGAGATAATTTGGATTGGCTGCTGTCAGTTGTTGGATGCATATGTTTTATCGTCTTGGTTGGGTAACCTGGCTAGTTTAACAGTTTCTGTAAAAATGAATACTCTGCTTGTGTTACATTTCTCTCTCTCTCTCTCTCTCTGTGTCTTTAGTTTCAATAAGGGTCATGTTCAACAGAGTAGTCTAACTTCAGTGGCTCGAAAGAAGACCATGTTGGCGAAGGCAGTGAGTCGTAAACTTCTATACTCAAAGTTGTCTAGACGCACGCCTATTCCGTCCACTGAGAATACGAATTTATGGCAGGTTGGGGAATTAGTTTGGGCGCGTTCACTTCCACCTGACAATTTCCCTTGGTGGCCAGCCATAGTGGTTGCAAAACCAAAAAAGTATTCGGGTAAGTTTATGTCTTTAAGCGGTGAAAACATCTAGCTGAAGTGTGTTTAAACAAATTTAATTATCTTATGTAATTGTTTTTAGTTTTGTATTAGTTATTTCAAGTGTATTTCTTAGCCGTTTCGCCACCCCTCAAATATCGAATGATTATGAGGGGAGGAGTATGTTCTAAAATTCCAGATTCCGTTTAGCCTTTAAGCTGCGTTCTTATTGAAGTTGACAGAGATTAGTAGCAGATAAACTTAACACTAATTATTATTGTTCTGTGGTAGTACTTAGTAGACACTGAGTATTTTAGTTCATTCCTTGATGAATAGTGTTTTATTCAACAGTTGTAGTATGTGAAGTGGTTTAATAGAGTTAGCAATATTGAGATTAGGCTTCTGTCGAGTGCTAGGTAAGAAGGGGAAATCATTAAACAAGGCTGTGAAGTTACATCGATTGAGATGGTTAGGATATGTGCTATGTACGCCTAGCCATCGCCTTCCCCGACGGGCAATGTGGTGGTCAAACCAAAACATGTCTTCACTGGTCAATGAAATCCACAACAGCTAGTTTAAGCCAGCCAGCCACTTTAGGAGGTGCAGACTTCCTGACTGGTTGGGGTCCTCGGGACGGTAAAAACCAATGAAGGCTGGAGACAATTAGTGATTTGGCTTAACATCCTCGTTACCAATGACGGTGCAGATACACTCACCCCTTGTGACTTATAATATCCATTAAAACCACATGGTTCTTCGACATTACTATTCTTTTTGCCTCATATCCCTGTTTACTGTATCTGTTTTGCATTTCTTTTTTACTTTCTTCTCTTGCTTTGTGCGTTAATTGAAGTGTGGTAACTCGAACTGTCTCACATCTGTGGAAAGTTCTACGTCGAAACTAGTCATTCAGTCAGTCGATAGTAGTAGTACAAACCAGCACTCCACTGTGCACACTATGTTCTGAATTAATTTTTTTTGAACGCATAATTTTATCATAATAAACTTAAGCTGTTCGATTTGACTATAATAAAAGAAAATTTCTGAACAAGTGGGCATAAGAGTATAGCGTAATCATATGATGACTACACTTAATACTGCAGAGAAGTTAGTTCAAATGGATAGGTAGTATTTCCTATTTTATAATTATCTTATTTTACACGTACAAAGGAGAGTTTCGTAACTTTATTTTATCTGTACTATTCGCGCTTATTAGTTTAAACGCATCTGTTAATTTCGACTTATAGGAAGTGAAGGTTCTTGTGTAACTCCCAGTCATTCGTCTTAACTGCGTGGATGCAAGGTAAGCACTAACACACACATAGATTTATCGGATGCAAGGATGGTTTACACCAACAGTCACTATTTGTAAAGGAAATAATCTTCATAAGTATATCATTGTTTATTCGCCTTTTGTCTAGTTAATTCAATCTGACATATTTTGAGTTCTAAGTTAAACTACCTTATGTATTATTATGTTATTTACTGTGGAAGCTTAATTCAACCACCCCCACCCCATTTTTGTTAGGAAGTTCTGATTTCAGACGAAATCACAACATGGATAGAAAAAAGGCTCGTGGCATTTACCAACTTACGTCATCTCTGATGTAGACGTGATATCTGGCGTGTGTACTGCTCACTAATTCTCTCTGTGTCCTCTTTTGTAGCTGTGTGATATGGCCATTGAAAGTGGAAGACCGTGAAGAGATTAGATTTATTTGACCTCAGATGTTTGCATTCTGTGTCTGGTGCTAGGTGGTACAATTTGGTGAGTAATATTGAGGTTAGAGGTAGAATGCTCGGTAAAGAGGGTAAGTCAATCGACGAGACTATATATAGACGCACTAGTTGAGATGGCTAGTCTGTCTGTCTGTCTGTCTGTTTTCGACATAGAACTTTGCACAAATGTGCGGAAGTTCAAGTCGCCACACTCCGTGTAGCACGCGAAGCAAGAGAAGAAAGTACAAAAAAAGCATAATAGAGACAGTGAGCAGAGGTATGAGACAAAGGAGGAGTAATAACGAAGAATAAAACAGTTTCATTGGAGATCATAAGTCAAAAGGAGTGGATGCATCTGTGCCATTGAGAACGATTTTGAGCCATGTCACTAATTGTTTCCAACCATTGGTTTTTACCGTCCCGAGGACCCCAGCCTGGAAGTCTACACCTTCCTACGTGGCTTAGATCAACTGTTGTGGATTTCATTGACTGGTGCCAAGATTTTGTTTGACCACCGCTAGCTTTTTTCCAGCCTGACCCTATATCCGCTAACATTGCTCGTCGAGGGAGGCGATGGCTTGGCATACGTAACACATGTCCTAACCATCTCAGTCTTTGTAACTTCACGACTTCGTCGATTGATTTCCCCTGTTTACCTAGAACTAGACGATGACTAGGACACGTGTTATGTATGTCGAGCCACCGCCTTTCTCATGGAGTGATATTGGTTGACAGGTCACGATTCTTTCTGCTTGTTACCATTCTTTTAAGTCTCTTTTGTCTTTCTTTGTGTACTATATGGAGCGTGATAGCTGAAACTGCTGTGCTTGTGTACTAAGTTCTATATTGAAATCAGTCAATGTTTTATAGTCATCTTATCCTAATTGTTGAGTAATTCAGCTGATATATAGGCGGTTAACGTATCAACAGTTTTCGCACTATGTCCTATGGCCTGTTGCGTTTTTTTTACCTCTAATATTATTCACTATTATTTTGTTTTACACCGTCTGGTTACCACATAACACTAGTCAACCTCGACTTAAATGCGGAGGTTAAACTATGCATTGATACATTTTGATTTCTTTTTACTTCATATTACACATAAGTGACTGACTAGCACAATAATTTAGTTGTAGCTTGCCTGGCGCCGAGTTCAGGGTGATCAAGAATGCTCTGACTCCGGGTGGAGGCTAACCATTGCACCTTGGTGGGTTGAAACTCGCGACGGACCCTAACCGGGTGCGCTCGGGCGTGTAGCTTTGTCAGTAGGGAGGCCTCACGTTCCTCCCTTTAATTTTGCGCGTTGGTAGCCCAGTGGTTAGGACTCTCGCCGATCATGCATATGGTCCGGTTCGATCCCCTGCCGACGCACTCCTGATACCAATGGTCGGCCTGCAAAATTTGGGCTACCGATATCCATGCTGAGAATTCCATACTTGTACCAAAAAAAAATACAGTGTGGAATCAAGCTATAATCAAACATCAGAGACTTGCATGCGTCCGGGAAGTTCAGCAGTAGAACACATTGCCAACCACGCTTTACGTGGTCCGGGGCTCAATTCCCGGCCACCGACACACTCCTAAACCCCACGCTAAGACGGTAATAGAACCAGTAAAAAAGGAAGGCGCCGGGTGTGAAGTTAGCGACCCCATCGCGTAAAAATGACACCACTGCTACCGAAACTTCAAAAGTGAAGCTTGAGGCCCTCTATGTTCCTGTCTCAGCAATGCTGCGTGAGCTTTTGGAAGTGTGTGGGCGGTTTTTACTTCCTGGCTGCCCACACCGTGGAAGTCGATTGATTATTCGGGTACCTGGAACAGAGACAGGGTTAGTGTTGCGTGACCACAGAGCCCAGGGAACAGCTGCTTGAAGCCGGTCACACACGGCCTGTATGAACTGGTTTTTTGGTTTGGTTTCGTATTAATAAACTTACCGCCAGTTACGGACCACCGTAGGGTAAGTCGGGATGTACAATTTTTGGGGTCGACCTTTTCTAACGCCCTCTTTCCAGAGTGGAGAGACAGCATAGCTGGCATGCTGGTCATCTGAGGGAAACACCTCACTGCTGTTACACTCCTGTTCCCCAGCAGTACGACTTCGCCCTTGTGTAAGAAAGATTCTTACACAATGCCGGTAACTGCTTTTAGTCTAATCGCTATCCTAACAACCTTCCTGGCATGGCAGGACCTGCAGGAGGAACATTGGTTCCAGCCAGTGTAGCTTGTTGGGTCATCGCGATGTGCAAGCCCGACCACTACGTCAAGGTAGCAGCTATCAGTTGGGAGGTAAGGGAAAATAGTATGTGAGAATGCTAAAATGTTTTTAAAAAAATTAGATATCTTCAAAATTTGTCTACATATGATTTTATTTTGCTTACCATTGTATTTATTCCTCAGTGTCAGAAACAATACCCACCTATCGAGTTTGTCTACTGGGTCTCATTCGACCGCTAACTTTTCTCACTCTCCCACAGACTCGTTTACGACTTTATGCTGGTAGAGAAGAATATGAGTCTTTTTATCGGAAGACTATTTTGGAAGCAACAAACAAATTACGGGTAATTTTAAGGTTATTATTATTATTTTCTTCATGTAATAAATGTCGTCAATTATTCTTATTTGTTGTTATATATTGAGGTGGAATGTTTTATTACTGCTGTAGAGCTTTTAAGTAGTCAAAATAAGTTAAGCGAGTCCAGTTACTGCTTGCTTTCAGACTCCACGACTTCCAACAAAGTGTGTCATGGATTACAATGTCGATCTAGGGAATAATAATAAGGGAGGAAAATTAAAGGAGAATATGTAGAGTATATGAACTAGTAAATAATAAGAAAGGAGGTTGAGTTATACCCGAGAGTCTCACATTCCATTGTACAATAATTCAAACGAAAGATATCTTCATTGAATTTTTGATTTTCCCGTTGATTGATTGGACCGAAGTGCTCGGTCTCAGGTTGACATGTCGGCTTCTTGTGCAGATGCTTCGACGATGTCTGGGCATTTAATTAGTATTTAATTGGTGGATGGTAAATAGCAGTGAAATCCGGGATAACGGGCATTTCATCCTATTTGGGACTTGTCAGCTGGACGTGCCTGCATTCCTCAGTGAGTGATGATGTTCCCACCGAGGCTCGAACCCAATGTCCATAGTTTCAAAAGCCAAAGCGTTATCCACTAGACCACTTGGGCCACGACAGCCACCTGAGACTGAGCACTTCGGTCCAACCAATCGACGGGAAAATCTCAAATTCAGTTAAAAATTAATATGACCCGTTGCACAAGAGGTGGCTCTCGTGGCCCAAGTGGTCTAGTGGATAACGCTTTGGCGTTTGAAACTATGGACACTGGGTTCGAGCCTCGGTGGGAACATCATCACTCACTGAGAAATGCAGGTACATCCAGCTGATGGATGAGTCTCAAATAGGACGAAATGCGCGTTATCCTGGATTTCACTGCTAGTCATCATCCACCAATTAAATACTAAGAAAGATATCTTCAAGTGTTGGTTTGTAGGGATTTGATTGATTTCAGGATTTCATCATCATCATCTTCCTTGGAAATCATGAAGATATGATGAGGGGATCAACGAAGATTTGGAGAGGAACTGATACCAAGAAAAAATTAGGTAATTATTTAATTTGCTTACTGTCGATAGTGCAGTTGCTAGTACAAGAATCACGAAAATTTTGTTCACGTCTGAAAGTCAAAGGAACAGTTTGAAATTCAGCGGTGTTCAGTTGATGAGCATACAACTGAGATCATTGGTTAAGCTCAGGTAGGAAATTATTCATACGTGGACAGTGTAGTGCAGAAATGAATGGGATAGAAATTGTTAGACTATTGGTATATTTTATGAAATTAGCTCTAAACGAATATGGTAAGACATGCAAAACAGAGAGAGAGAGAAAGAAAAAAGGTGGATAGAGTAAAGCGTCTTAAGGCACACCAACTCCTGTAAGCTAAAAATGGTGTACTGTTTCCTACCTGAAAAATAGGAAGATAACCATCTTGTGACCCAAGCCCCCAGCACATGTTGAAGTTAGACTGCTTGGTAAAAGTACCCTAGGAGGAGTAGATTCAAGAACAGCAGATGGGGATAAACCTTGCATCTTTATCTAGACTAGGAATCATATTTTGTGACGGCATATAGTGTCCCTACTTCATTTGTAAGTGAATTCCTTGGGGTCACTGAGCGATTCTAAATAGGATTGAGGAGGGAGCAAGACAAGTTTTTCCATAGTTTTGAAAAATGGAGACATGATTGCGATTCGCCTAAACTTTCACACCTTATCCAGATCATGATATTCGTACTGGTATAATCTTTATTTCTTTGGTACTGCATTAGGATCTAGGGCTGCGTAGTGGATGTAAGGATTTGAGACATTCTGTTAATGCATTCTTTTCATTAAAAGCTGGAAAATTATTCTGTGTGACTAGGCAAATCAGCTGCTAGCACAGTAGGTTGAACACCAGAGCATTAGCATCAACAGAAATCTGCTATTTTCCTTGTCGATTGATTGAACCAGATTCCTGATGTTGGTAGCTTTTTACATGATAAAAGTAGTTATTCATCGAAACATCAGCTTGTATGCTATGCTTTCATATATCAAGTTGTCTCTTGTTAGAACCCAGTTGCCTGGAGAGAAATCTTTTGTGTATCAAGATTTGTATCTGACTGAGAACTCTGAGTGCCTCAGCCAGAGGGGGGGAGTCACATCTTGTGACATATTGAGGTCATAAGAATGCTGTCAAGAAATGAAATTGACTAAATTTCCGTTTTTCTATTCCTTTACGTTCCCAGTGGAACATAGGGGGTGACTTCAAGCTAGCTCTTGGAAGTTTCATTAGCAGTTGTGTTTATTTTTACTGGAGGGGATTGCTAGCCTCGTGTTCAACTTTCCCTCTTTACCAGTGTTATTACTTGCTTAGGGGGGGGGGGGTGTAAAGGAGTGCGTTGGTGGCCGGGGATCGAGCCCTGGACCACATAGTGGCGTGGTTGGCGAGCATTCTACCTCTGTGCCACCGACACACAGTAAAAACTCACTATTTTGATTGACAAATCAAATATTTATTTTTAACCTTTAGGCTCTACGTCAATTTGCTATTCAGCCAAGCCTACAGGAAGCATGGTTTCGTGCTAGAGAGGCTGCAGCTGAGGCGAAGTTGGCTAAACCACGGCCTGCTGGTCGGTTAGCATTGTTTCCATGGATTACTGATCCAGCGTTTCTTAAACTGGATCCACTGGCTGATTATGTTAGAAAGAATACTGGAAAATACACATTGTTTGGTAAGTTGTTGTCCGATGGTTTTTTAAAAAGTTTTTCTCGAGATATATCCCTTTTCTGATTATTATTGTTATTGTTACTATTGTTCATTGTTTACGTTCTAACTAGAAAATAAGGCTTCAAAAATACATCTTAATAGCATTCCGTTATCTGCAATCACCTCCAAACGGCTGTACGACTGCCCAAAAGCATTCATTTCCTTTTCACATGGTCTCTTCTCTGTCACTATTGGACACCCAATCTGTCGCTACTCATTCGGGTTACATTGTAGAGTTGAACGTGCGTAATGTCACTTGAAGGTTTCTTCAGTGTTCGTTCAATTCACTTCCATTTCCTTTTGTATATTAGTTGGGTAACGTTTCGGATTGTGAGGGCGATTGTTACTTCCCGGCTGCCCACACCGTGGAAGTTGGTTGCGTGACCGCAGAGCCCAGGGGACAACTGCTTGAGGCCGGTCACACGCGGCCTGTTTTTGTTCGTTCCTTTTTGTTTGGTGTGCCTCAGTAGCATACTTATCACTCCTGCCCTGTGACACGGCAGCAGGAAGCGCGGTCGTTGTTAATCCGGGCCACGGCCGATCCGGCATGAAATTTTGTGATTTTGTATTGGTCATGATGTTGGATTGGGTAGCTGCTTTTTGTTTAACCGCTATCCAAACAACCTGCCTGGCATGGTAGGACCTCAAGAGACATAAGTCTCAGCCAGTATAGCTTGAATAGATCATTGCGGTGTTCAAGCCCGACCACCACGTCAAGGTAGCAGCTTTCGGTCGGGGAACAGGTAACAGGTTGTTAGCTGATTCTCTGTCTTGGATATAATGGAGAAGATTTGTGGCTAAGGTGGATTATTTTGATGTAGTTGTGTTCTCTGAGCTAGCTGGATGGTTTATTTGCGAAGCTTTCATTGCCCTGCTAGACAACAGCTTCAGCGCATACATCAATTTGTTCAAGTGAGCTTTAAGATTTGTCCATGAATTTATTGGCCATCTCTCCTGGTGACCTTGAACGGGGTTGGTTGCTATTGTCTGTCACCTCCTCCTTCTACCTTGAGTGTAATTCCAAGTTCTAAAACTTTGTTAATGTTTTTTTTTAAAATTCTCATATGACATTTTAGTAATACCTTCGTCTTAACCAACCATTTATTTACTCTTTCTACCTATTACGTAATCCACTTTTTGGTTACGTCTCAATTAACATCCTAATCCATTTTACGCAACCCTTGTCAATACTTACTAATCTTCACCACCCACCCTAGTTACAATTTTGATCATTCATCACATTTTAGAAGCATTTTGATGACGTAAACAGTAACCCTAACTAATTTTTATGTTATTTTTGTTTGACAATTCTAATGTACACACACAAACACAAAATAACTATACAAATGCGATTGTACAGCTGTGTAAATGAATTCGCCGAAAAGAGACTCTTCGCTGAACTTTATTGTTCTTATATTCATGTCTTCATACCCTCTTTTATTTGTATTTGTATTAACTTTTTCTCTGACCTGAAGTTTGACTCTTATGGATTGGTAAATTTTATGAATGTCATTGTGCCTGGTAATTGCTGAGTTATCGGAACACCAGGCTTCCAAAAATTCCCCGGCATTCCAGCTGTTTCCTCTGTCTAATATTTGAATGTTGTCCCAGTTGAATTGACATCCGTGGTTGTTTGTATGCAGTGATGTTAGAGATTGGATATCACATCTTTTGACAGTTGGTTTGTGTTTATGGATTTGAAGATGAGGAGGGTGGTCATTTTGACCAATGTAGTGTTTTTCTCAGTCAATGCAGTTTATCTTGCAGATGATGTTGATCGTATGTTCTTTCGCTGTTGAGTATTTTGGTTGACATAGAGCCGAGTGCAGTTATTTTGTTGGTTTACATGCGGCGATATTAATTCCTAAAGGTTTGAATAGTCTTACAGTGATTTCTGAGATGTTCTTTATATATGGTAAGGTTAGCTGTCTGCCTGAGCTCTTTGTTTTTCAACTGCTTCCCACCATGTTGGTCGGAAGCAATTGTTGATGAAAATCGGATATAGTTCCTTGTGTTGAGTGCTGAGTAATGAACGCTTGTCTTGCTTTTCAGATCCTGCTTTAAAGTAATCGATGCAAGGTCTCATCTGTTACACTTACTTATTTGTTAATTTGAGTTTGCTTCATTATCTTTCACTAGTTTCATCTGTGTTGATCTCTTCCTGGATAGCTACGTGGTTATGTGGCGCTATGAGGTCCCTCCTAAATGTAGCCTGTGCTACTTCAGTTTTTAGTGTCTCAGAAGCGCCTTTTGTCTTCGCTATTACTCTTCCTCACTATTGTTTTCTGTGCGTTTTAGATTATACTTGAGTTCTCCTTTCGTTGTTTATTTTTGCGCTGGTTCACCTTCTGCTTCACTTTCCACTTCATGCTTATCAGCTTCCACTTTTTTGTAATCAGCCATTTCTTGTCTTAACTCTTCTTTTTGCCTAAAATGCCTTTGTAGGCTTTTTCAAATAACGCTTTGATTAATGTCGCCTGTTTCTAACTTTTTGCTGATGATCGCAATGAAGTTGTCCTTTGTAGCTTCGTCCTTAAATGTCTAAATGTTGAACTTCAATGCGTAGTCTACATTCAGCTTCTTTGAATTCTTTCAAATTGATCTTGAAGGTTTCTGGCACTAGTTTTGGGTCTTATTTTATATCTGCCTGTCTTCTAGATCTATCTATCGAGTAGGATGCCTCTCCACTTTCTGGAGATTGAGATAAAGTCTGTCTAATTTTTGTGTGTTTATCTGGTGTGAAACGGACGTCGCCTTGTGTGTATACTCTTTTGGTTGTATACGTCGCCTGCGTCCAATTGCGAAATCATTGAACGCATAGAAGTTTGCAAAAAGAGTTGTCTGTTCCTATTCCTGTCATTGAGCGCCTCTCGACTCATGATTACCTAGCTGTCTTCCTGAGTTGTCTGGTTCTAATTTGGCATTCACATCACCAATTGGAGTTTTGACATCATCATCTGACTGGAGTCTTGTTAATTACTGTTTGCTGCATAGTCTGTAGTTACCGTATCTTTGCATAGTTGTAACTTTTGGTCCTACCAAATTGAATCTTGTCATGATCCTGGAGGAGATTGCATCCCACCTAATGGGAGCCTTGAGTGCTGTTAGTGACAAAATGATAATAGCCACACCTTCAGTGTGCTTGTGGTTGTCTTCTGGGTGATTGGAGTGCATTATTCACTCTCTTGTTAATAAATTGGAGGGTCCACTTTTATTCAGTCTTCTTGCACACTTCCGTAACACTTCTATGCTATATCTCGTAATATTCTTCTACAATATTCTATTTCCCTATGCTTAATTTAACCTTTATTGTAAGAAGACACATCGACCGACTGACTCCCTGAAAGCTTTAACACACACACCCACACCATTATCATCCATCCGTTCTTGAATTGAAGAGTCTTCTCGATCCTGTCGGAGAGCAAGTTTATATTTGAAGACTCACTAACGATGTGGTTGTCGACCCCACACTGAATCATCTCTCTCCTTTCTGAGCTTAAGACCTCCTAGGCTAGTAAACTAGTCTTTTTCCTGATATTTGTTAAATTTTCATGTCGTGAACATTTCACTCGTTACCTAGAAGTGATTGGTAGTGATCTGATGAACGAGCAACATTTAATTCAGTGGTTTTGCTAGCTATTTTTTTGTATTCTATGTAAAGATATTGTCGTTCCTTCGTTTAAGTGCTCGAATTCTAGTCACTGAGCCTTGGCTCTGAGCCCCGCTCTACCTAACAGCGTTTCGGCAGTCAGATAGTATTACTAACCGTGCCTCCCTCCGCACAAAATATTTATGACCGCTTTTCTGACTGCCTGGAGATGCAGGTTGTTGTTGAGGGTTCATTACAATGTCCCTGTAGTTATATCATCCGAAATTCTTAAGATATTTGAAGTTAACGTTAGTATTTTGTTAATTTTTAGTGTTTCTCTTTTTGAGTGGGTGGTATTTTTAGCTATTTGGTATGGGATAATTCATATTCTATGAAATTCAATTCAAAATAAGACATCTGTAATATAGTGATTTATGTATGCTCATGTTCCTGTCTCTTATTTAGCCATGTACATTTGTAAGTTAGACATCCGTTTAACAAAAGTACAACTTTTTCCTGTATTGTGAATACATGTCACATGCAACATTTTAATCCCCGTTGAGTTATATAAAAGAAAAGCCCTTAAGTGAAGAGAGATCAGACAGATCTGTAGACCTGATCTGTTTTAACACAGGATGTGTGATTTTTCTGTGGTCTTTCGGTGTATTATTTTCTCCCTTCTTCTTACTACATTTCTCCGTCTTGTGATGACACTTATCTCCTTTTGTTGGTAGGACAATTTACACTAGATCTGTATACGTAATTGTTTTACAGCTTATGAATGAGTGACTCTTTGCTGGACACTTTTTCCTTCAAAAGGGATGTTTCCAAAAATGTGTCTTTTTTTATTCCTTAACTTTCCCAGGGGAACATAAGGCTTCAAGCTAGAGGCTTGAAGTTTCTGTAGCAGTGGTGTTTATTTTTACAGGATGAGATTACTAGTCTCATGCCCAACCTTTCCTCTTTACCAGCAATTTTTATGGCTTAGCGAGATAAAGGAGTGCGTCGGTGGCCGGGGATCGAACCCCTGGACTATGTGCATCGTCGGCAAGTATCCTAACCGCTGCGCCACCGACACTGTCAATGCGCAAAAAGAGTTGAATAAATGTGTAAGGGTTACGTAATAAGATGGATAATTTAATAAATGAGTTGTACTCAAGATGAACATAGAAACAGGAAAATACGGAGTTATGTCAGATTTCTAAAGAAATACAAGAGTTATAAGGAATTGGTAGAATAAGAACACGAAAATCAAGTCAGTAGACAGTAGGAGTCAACAAGGTTGTTATCATGATAGTAGAAGTGGATGAATATTACACGTAGCTTCGGTTTTTCTAACTGAACGGTTGAAGCTTTAGCGGTGCAAAGAAGACGAAAATGTATTGCCTTTAACAGATTGCCCGTCAACTTTGTAGATTACTTTGAAGGAGGAGGCGTTTGTTGAGATGGAATGCCCAGTTTTGACAATATGTTCAATTATCTCACTCCTCATAGAGTCACTACTGCCTTCCTGTAACCATGTGGGGTATTATTCCTGAACCCTTTTAAACAAGATACGCATCGAACGACCGATATACCAAGCTTCACAGCAATATATATATATATATATATATATATATATATATATATATACCGCTCAGCAGTTCGCTCCGTCCTTCTCTATGGCTCTGAAACATGGCCAATACGCGTTGAAGACATGAAAAGGTTGACTGCTTTCGATCATAGATGTCTGCGATCTCTGTCTCACGTTAGGTGGTTTAATAAGGTAAGTAATGTTGACGTCAGGCGTAGAGTGTTGGGCAAAGAGGGAAAATTAATCCACGAGGCTGTAATGTTACATAGATTGAGATGGCTAGGTGACGTGCTGCGCATGCCTAACCATCGCCTCCCCCGACGGGCATTACTAGCTGATATAGGTGGAGGTTGGAAAAGAGTAAGTGGTGGCCAAACAAAAACACGTCATCAATCCATGAAATCCTTGATAGTTAAACTGAGTCAGGTAGAGTAGGAGATGCAGATTTCCGGGTTGGGGCCCTCGGGACTCTAGGAATCAATGACCGGAGACAATATGTGACATGGCTCAAAATCGTTGTCAATGGTCAGCGCAGATGTATTCAGTCTTTGTAATCTTTCATATTCCTTTCTACCATTACCCATTCTGTTTCACTCTTATACTTGTCAGACTGTATTGATTCTCTTCACTTATCTTCTTGTCTACCTCTGTGTGCTATTTGGAACGTGGCAACTCGAACATATATATATATATATATATATATATATATATATGATACTTTTAGTTCTAAGTTTGATCAAAAATCGATCTGAGGAGGTAGAGAACCATTGAAAATCAAGGAATACTGGACAGCTAATTCGTATTAGTTTTTTTGACTCCTCAACGGTACGCTCCCATGACCCCAGAGAGGATCGAACCGAGAAGCATCTAGTTATGAGGCGATCAGTCCGTAACTATTAAGTCACAGGGACGAAATCCACTGACCGGTCTATAAGTTCCAAACTTCTGTCAATTCGCGATTTATACCGTCACCGTCGACTAATGTTATCGACGAGTGTTTGTCCTCACATCCAACCTGGTGGACCCCACACTAGTGTCTGTCCACTGCTTCTCACTAGAATGTTTAGCTGTTGATATGATCTTGAGTGTTAAATTCCTAAATATCAGCTTTATGACTCTCAGCTTTCCAGATTGGTGTAAAATGATTAATGCTGTAACGTGAACATGTTGTGGGGGTAACTGATCACCTTTTCGTAGGACTGGCTTAAGAGAAACAATTCACGCATGTATATAGACACAAACACGTTTATAGTTGCAAGGTTATTTTATTAATTTTCAATAGTTTGTTTGTTGGGATTTGATTTGTGTCAAAATTCTGATCATGGATTGGTATCAGTCAGAGAAAACCACGGAGTACTGGACATCTGTTTATTCCCACTTCGAGACTATTCATCGGTAAGCACCCATCGGGGTTCTAACACAAGATCTGGTTACCAGGTGAGCTCAATGACCATTCAGCCGCTGGGACCCGATTCAGTTTCTATGAATTCGTGATTTTAGAGTGACTGGCTGCAGCCAAAGTCATCGCTGGCGATTACTTCTCCTCACTTCTAACCGAATGGACACACCATTGATCACGACTTCTTGTAAATTTTATAATTTCACAGTTTTGTTTATTAATGTGCACATCTTAAGTATTTTATTTTTAATTTCCGATTTTCAATAATAATCAGGTAAATCATCACGTAAGCGTACCTATTCTGAAGATAGTAGTTCTTCATCAGAGGATTCAGATACATCGCCTGCTTCAGACAGCGATGCTGATTCTAAAGGGAAACATGGTCCAGGTTCTCATGTCTCTTCGTCGACTACTTCAGGTAGTTCAGTTGGACCTCGAAAACCTTTAAAACCCTCAAATGATGATTCCAAGGTTAGGTGATAAGAATAATAATATTTTTCTGGTTGTCATTCTTCTGTTTTTATCAATCCGCATATTATTTCCAAGACTTCAAATAGACCATATTTGAAGATGTCAAAAATAGCTAAATCGGTAAGACAAGCCAGACCTTCATTACTCTAAATTTAGTTTGGAGATCTTCTTCATTCATTCATTCATTCGGATTTTTAACACCAGTGTCAATTCAATTATTTCTTGTATTATAGGTCAAAAACTTGACACCCGTGTCACGAAAAGCATTTCCAGCAGCCAGTTGTGGACTTTTATCAACAGCTGTCTTCTTCGCTGTCTTCATTTTGGAGATCTAATGGCTAGAAAAAAAATAGCAATAAGAAACAATGGGAATAAATCAACTAGGAAACTATTGCTCAAACAAATATCCTGTAGAAAATCGAGATGGATTGGGCTGGCGCTCCAGTCCGACCCTTGCTTGAGTGGAACTCGAATTGAAAAAGACGAGTTGTGGGTGTATGCCCAAGGCTGACATGGAGGAAATCAGAGATTATGGGCAATCGTGGGGCCAACTGAAGAGAACCACGGAAAACAAAACAAGGTGGAAATGTGCGTTTGAAGTCCTACGCTCTACTCAGAACCCCCAGGGGAACAGTAATAACAATCAAGTGCCCTTAGAGAAGATATAGATGGTGAAATTACCTAACCAACAGCAACAACAACATCAACAAAAGCAAGCAACACATTTGAGATTGTCAAAGGTCGACTGCGGAAATCAGGACAGGCCTACATTATTCTGAAATCCACTGCGGAAATCGACTGCACTCAACATAAGCAGCAACAATCAGATTTTAAACATTGATTAATGTGTCAAGTGATTGCTTCTTTATACGAATCACAGATTTGGCATTCACTTCACCAGGTGCATTTCCAACAGCCTACTTTAGATTTTCACCAACAGCTGCCTTCGCTGGCTGCAGCACCAAAAAATTGGTTGCCGCCGACCTGAAGAAAAAATGATGAGCGGTAACAAGTAACTCTGGCAATGCATCAACCAAGAAATATGCAGGAAGAAATCATGATGGGTCGGAAATACAATGAGGAAACCGTTGAATAATGTCGCGCGCCAGGCCCACGAGTGGAATCCAAATTAATAACTACGATGTCGGGTATGTATCCCCGAGGGTGACATGTGAGGAAGAAATGAAAGCGTGTTGGACCAGGTAGCGAAAAAGATTGCGGTGAAGTAAATGGAATAGAGATGAGCGAAACGACCGTCCAGCAGTGTTTACATCACTTCGATAATCCAACTGACTGGCCTGTCAATGAAATGACACTACTCATTTCAATCAATCAGTAGTATATCGCTGTTGTATACTGTTTGAAGTGGTTATATTTTGATGCCGATAATTTTCTTTTCTTATTTATCCTTGTAGAATAACAGAACAACTGGCCTCCGTTGGATAGATTTAGCGAATTCTTTTGAATTTGAAAAACTACGCTTTGGTTATACAACACCGAAACATTACTTTTTATGTTGTGTTTGTGGTGAATACCATCCAGTATGGAGTGCTGGTAATAATAACAGTACTACTAATGTTAGTAGTCAGTCAACTCCAAGGATTACTGTTGGCCTGCCATCACTCACACCAGATATGAACATTGGTCTGGATTCACAGAAAACTTATAGTCAATCAACACAATCTGATCGAGTGGAGAATACGGTTATGGCATGTGCTGGTGGCTGTGGGAATTATCTCCACTTACATTGTGCTCCACATATATTTTATAGAATTATAAAGCATAAAAATTGTGAAAATAATGGTACAGATGAGGGTGGCGGTGGCGGTGGTCAGTGTCACCAACAGTCAGTAACAACCAATAGTAAAACAGCAGCAACAGCATTGAGTGTGAAAGACACACCCACGATGAATGGAGGGATTACTGAATCCTCAGTACAACCTAATCCAGTGTGTAGTTTGTGCTTAGCTGGGCTAAGACAATGCTTCATTTGTTATGTAAGTTTCTATTTCCACTTTTTTGTTTTAGTTCATATATATATATATTCCCTTTTTATAAACCCTTCATTTTTTGTTGCACTGTAGTTTCTGTTATTTATGAAAGCCAAATTATGAAGACTCAGAAGTGTATGCTAGATGTCACAGGATTTCATCATGAACTGACACTGGTTAGAGAACCATTGGTAAACCAGAGAATATTGGACAGCCTGCTGTTTCGTCTTAATTCGGGACTCTTTGACAGTGCGCATCCACCACCAGGGTTCGTACCCAGGATCTTCCGGCTACAAGGCAAGCTCGTAGACCATTCAGCCACTGGGACGCAATCCAGTGTTCCATGAATCCCTGCTTCTGCCAGTTCACCCCGTTGAGTGTGTACTCCTTTAAGAGTTCCGAACTATATCAAAACAACTGGCTGTTCAGTACATCCTACTGGTTTTCCAATGGTTATATACCCAATTTCAGCTCATAATGAGATCCTGTAAATAGTCAAATCTCTGTGAACAAACATGTGAACATGCTAGATGTGTCTCAATACTCAGGGGTATTCGTAGCTCATCATTTGTGGAGGTGTTTAGGTTGAGTCATTCCCACTTTAGATGATGACTCAATTTCACAGGATTTTTCTTGTAGACTGGGTATGAATAATCTCATCGTTCACACATTCGAGTGATAGCTTGACTTGCATTCAGCAATCTTATAATCAGTTTGGCTAACTGGAAAGCTTGTTATGCTGAAGTCTTGAGATAATAAATGCAAAAGTGGTCGTCTCTTCATTGTAAGTATAATAGTAAGGTGTGTTATAGTAAAACTTTCGCAAAAGAATTTGGTCTGCCGGTTCTAATTTTCTTCTCAGAGTTTCAACACAATTGACGAGGTTGTGAAGTTATGTCGGTTAAGATGGCTAGGGCATGTGTAACATACGCCTAGCCATCGTCTTCCTCGGCGGGCACTATTAGCTGACGTATGATTCGATTGTCTTCATCAGTTAATGAAATCATAACACCTAGTTAAAGTCACGTAAGGTGTAGACTTCTTGACTAGTTGGGGTCTTTGGGATGATAAGAACCAATGGTGGTTGGAGACAATTGGTGATATGATTCAAAATCCTCATTCTAAGTGACTGGCGCAGATGCGTTCACTCTGTATGATTTATCATATGCGATAAAAATCTGTTGTTCCTGTACATTACTATTCTTTTTCCCTCACTCGCACTTCTGTTTATTATCTCTCTCTATCTCTCTTTTGAATCTCTGTTTATTGTCTTCTCTTGCTTTGTGTGCTATTACAAGGGGGAAGTGTGGCGACTCGAAGTGCTGCACATCTGTGCACATTTTTATGTTGAAACCACTCAGTTAGTCAGTTTGTGATAGAGTTTCTATCTGTTTTCGACATAGAACTTTGCACCGATGGTGCAGCATTTCAAGTCGCCACTCTCCCTCCATGTAGCACACAAAGCAAGAGAAGAGAGTGGAAGAAATGCAAAATAGAGACAGTATACAGGGATATGAGGCAAAAAGAATAGTAATAACGAAGAACAATATAGTTTCACTGGAAATCATAAGTCACAGGGAGTGGATGGATCTGCGCCAGCCAGTCATTGAGAACGATTTTGAGCTATAGCATCAGTTGTTTCCAGCCTTCATTGGTTTTTACCGTCCTGGGGACCCCAACGAGTTAGGAAGTCTACACCTCCCTACGTGGCCGGCTGGCTCAAAGTGACTGTTGTGGATTTCATTGACTGGTGCCGTCATGTTTTCGTTTGACCACCGCTAACTTTTTTCCACCATGACCCTATGTCTGCTAACATTGCGTGTTGATCGGAGAAGGCGATGACTAAGCATACGTAACACATGTCCTAACCATCTCAGTCGATGTAGCTTCACAGCCTCGTCGATTGATTTCCCCTATTTATCTAGAACTCTACGCCTAGCCTCAATGTTGCTCACCTTATTATGCCACTTTACACGGAAAATAGAGCGCAGGCACCTATGATCAAAGACAGCTAGTCTTTTCATGTCTTCCACTCTCAATGGCCAGGTCTCACAACCATAAAGGAGGACGGAGCGGACTGATGAGCAGTACACTCGCCCTTTGGTCGATAGTCGAGCATCTCGTGTACGCCAGAGTCGGCGTAAACTGCAAATGCGAAACGAGCCCCCTGTATTCGTGCTGAGTTTTTGTCAGAGATCAGCCCGTTGGGGCTGATGGTACTTCCCAAATAAGTGAAGCGGTCAACGTGCTCTACCACTTTACTTCCTATTTTTAAACTAGGCGTCGATGTAGTCCAGTCCTGTAACATCATCTTACATGATAGATTTTCAAAAATCTTTGGAGGTGTGGCTAAATTGTCTTAATTGCTCGGCTGGAAGGTCATGGGTTCGAGTTCAAATCCACCTTCTTTAGGCTAGTCAACTGGAGTAGTATTATCAATTCACCCGCGAAACTATTGTAACAGCAGAAGACAAGGGCCAGGTAACAGATCGTTTATTTAGGAAATCAACAGATGTTTATAGACTTTCATGTACATTATTATAGATTATTGTAAGCAAACAAACAGTCTACTGATTGGTTGTTTCTCATTGAAAGTTAACCTTGCATCTCTTTGTGACTGTTTCTTGAATGTCAGATCATCTATATGCTAATTGTATCCGCCTACGTAAAGCCTTTGTTCTCATTTTTCTCACGACCAATATTTGGGACATAAACATTGACGTGAATTACTGTCTACCAATTTGGCTAGCAGCCAGCTCTTACCACAGTATTATCAGTTCTCACGCGAAAGTATGGCTCTCGGCGTGTCACATATGAAAGATCTGTCCTAAGTAATTGAGTTGAGTTCAAGTTTATGTGGAACACATGAAGGCAAAACAAATCCATGTCGGTGTCAACCGTAATCAGGTTGTTTGGATCAGTGATAAAGATTTATAACTCTGAGTGAGGATTATAACTGTTTAGCGTTCTACGTTAATATTCCGAAAATAGCAACAATTCAGCCTTTAAAATCGTAGTGCACTATAAGACTATGGAGTGAATATATTTTTGAAAATCGTTCTGGTGTGTGTGTGTGTGTGTGAACATCTGATAGGTGGTATAAAATTGAATATAATTCTTTAACAATACTCTGGCTTTCGTTTCTTGTGTTTATTCTTGGTTTATGATTTTCTGTACGTTTTAAAAAAAAAAATTTGATTTCATTGTAGCTAACTCATCCTGACGCCAGTTTGACTACACTTCAAACCTCTCATAGCTGTGAAACGCCTTTGATTTATGCCAATTCCGAACCACCCGTAATCGATAAAAGTATCTCTGATGTAACATTGAAAATGGAAGAGGATACAACCACAACAACAACAACTACTAATGAATCTACTTATCATCAGAAAGACATTCAACCAGTATTAGAATCGAATAAATCTGATCACCAGTTGATACGCTGTTCAGTTCGTGCTTGTCGACGATGGTTTCATCCTAGCTGTCTGCGTAAGCCGCCTTTTGCAATTGTTGTGCGTGAACGACGTGCTGGTGCCTTTTCGTGTCCTGCGCATACATGTTTAGCGTGTACAGCTGAGACACCTGGAACAATGCCTCGTCCATCTGCACATTTTATTCGTTGTGTTATGTGTCCTGCTGCTTATCATCCTGGGGAATGGTGTCTACCGGCTGGTAGTAAAGAGGTGGGTGATTTTGTATATGTTGTCATATTTTTCTTTTAAGTTTACATTATTCAAGTCATCTGGGTTTATTTACTTCCTAATTCATGATAAAAGTATAAAACTTGGGCACTGTGGTGGTAGAGTATAACCCCAGTATGGATAAGATTTTATTTTGATAAATCACACAGTGTGTTATACAGTAAGTAATATTTACTGATGACCAAGTTTTGAGAACAAACTATTGCCACTCATAATCGTATCAAGTCACTACTCACACAACTTTTTCCTACATTTACATACATGTGTGGAATTGACTAGATATTTGAATTAAATTCAATACGTGATAATGTACATTCAAAAATAATAATAGCATGAGTGTTATTGATCAGATGGGAAATAAGACGAGTGTTTTTTTATAGTCATAATAAATAACTTGTTAGAATGTTGTGATGTGATTGAATTGAAATAGAATTTTGAGATTGTTTATATTATCCTCCTCTGATTTGACTGATTAGTGGTAATAATATCTTCCATATCTCTGATATTCGCGTTGAGCCATTTCTGTTGCATGTGTTGTGTTGGGTATAGACTCAATGAATCAGGCAGGATTCAGTAATCAATCTCTCTCTCTCTCTCTCTCCACCTACATAGATTAGTTCTTAGAATCCGAACCTTCTCCTACTCTCTTGTGTGGTTGTGTGTTAATACGTGAAGTGCAGTTGCAGCCTTAGCTAAATTCTTATGTTCCGCCAATCTGACTACCCCGATCTACTAGTTTGACCTATATAGTTGACTCAACTAACAGTGATTGCAGGGTATTTTGTAAATTTCGGATTGTGAGGGCGATTGTTACTTCCCGGCTGGCCACACCGTGGAAGTTGGTTGCGTGACCGCAGAGCCCAGGGGACAACTGCTTGAGGCCGGTCACACGCGGCCTGTTTTTGTTCGTTCTTTTTTGTTTGGTGTGTCTCAGTAGCAGATTTATCACTCCTGCCCTGTGACACGGCAGCAGGAAGCGCGGTCGTTGTTAATCCGGGTCATGGCCGATCCGGCATGAAATTTTGCGGTTTTGTATGTATCATAATGTTGGATTGGGTAGCTGCTTTTTGTTTAACCGCTATCCAAACAACCTACTTGGCATGGTAGTACCTCAAGAGACATAAGTCTCAGCCAGTATAGCTTGAATAGATCATTGCGGTGTTCAAGCCCGACCACCACGTCAAGGTGGCAGCTTTCGGTCGGGACGGTAAAAATCCATGGTTGGAAACAATTGGTGACATGGCTCAAAACCGTTCTCAGTGGCGCAGATGCATCCACTCCCTGTGACTTATGATCTTCAATGAAACTGTTTTGTATTTCCTTATTACTCCTTTGTCTCACACCTCTGCTCACTGTTTCTATTATGTTTTTCTTGTACTTTCTTCTCTTGCTTCGCGTGCTACACGGAGTGTGGCGACTTGAACTTCCTCACATTTGTGCAAAGTTCTATGTCGAAAACAGACAGACAGACATTTTGTAAATTATATTGTTTTGTTTAATTGGGTCCAGCGGGTCTTTTAGCCTACAGAGCTTGTCCTACCTGAGTGAGTTTGTAGGTTTGAATGCCACCGTAATTCCTGCTAGGGAGGGAGATGAATTCAGTGTGTGTATTAGACGTGACTGTATATTTTTTGCAACAATGTATGCAATAATGGAATCATTTGATTTGCATCTTATCTCCACTTCACGGATGACACATTTTTGTCTTTCAGGGGTTGGTTTGCAGGGATATGATTGATTTCAGGCTGAATGACGAATTGACTTCAGCTCACTAGTGACCGACTACAGGATGAGGAGTTGCCTGAGTTCTTCGAGGGGTTTATCTTTATCGAGTCAGGTATGACGACAGAGATACTCAACAGTGATATTGGCTAGTGGTTGTGCGATATTCTAGTGAATTGGTAGATGTGTTAGGATTGCTATGAGCCATTGGATTTTGTCCCATTGATTGAATGGTATACAACCTCGATCCCTGTTGGGATCACAGCTGCCTGGCACTAAAGAATTCCAAAGAAAGTGGATGAAACAGCTGCCCAGTACAGTACTCTCTCCTTGCTTTCAATGCTTCTCCAATTGAAGTCTATTCGTGGTCAACACGGGCAGGTTTTTGTTGACCTAAGTTGTTTGTTCAGAAAACATTTGAATCACTGGTTAAGGATTATCGATTCCCTGTTCAACTTGCTGTGACTTCGGTTTTCACTTCCAATCTAAATCTCCATCTAATAAAATCCATTCAGTCCAGCAAATATTTATGTCCCTCAGAAAGGCAGAGCGCGAAGGAAAAGGTTGAACTGACTGTTCAAAGATGTAGGCAGGAAATGAAAATCAAATAGTGACCTCGTATTTTAAATTTTGTTACTTTTATTGATCATAAAACTTGAGTGAAATGCTTAAATTATCAAGCGTTAGTTTGCAGGGATTGGATTAATTACAGGATGATTGATCGCGATCTGACATCAGATAGAGAGAGAACTGTTGTGATCAGCCGTATAACCCAATCTAATCCTTGCAAATCAACGCCTGATAGTTAATCTAATGCTTACACTAGCGAATGGTCCTATACAAGAAGTCGTAACCAGAGGGTCGAGTTCACCAAGTCAGGGAGGAGGACAGTTAGTCGCCTGTGACATTGACCGGTAGTTGCGCTAAGCACATATATTATGAATTAGCAGAAGTTGGAATTGGTGGATCATTAAGTCGAATCCCAGTGATTGAAAATGGTCTACGAGCTTGCTTTGTAACCGGAAAGTTCTAAGTTCGAACTCCGGTGGGTATTTTTTTATTTTTGGTTACAGCTTGATTCTACACTGTATTTTTGGTACAGGTATGGAATTTTCAGCATGTGATATTGTTAGCCCAAATTTAGCAGACCGACCATAGATATCAGGTGTGCGTCGGCAGAGGATTGAACTCCGGACCATGTGCATGATCGGGAAGAGTCCTGTGCGTCGGTGGCACGGTGGTTAGGACTCTCGCCGACCAAGCCAATCTGTAAAGATAAAAAACCAGGTGTAGATTATTGGATTTGATAAGTGTGTAAAATTATAAAAGTAGCATGTATTTACATAGGGAAATTTCGTTACTTCATGGGAGGAGGGGGGTGTTGTAACCAGGTCAATTTTTGTTTTAATCTATCATTCCTATTCTGACTATTTGGATTCCACTTGATAGGAAGTGCTTCTGCTGATATTTAGAAGTTCTTTGTGATTTCTGAAATGCTTTTTCTGGATGATTATTTCAATATTGTCAAAATCAAATTTGTGGCCTGATTCTATAATGTGGCTGGCTAATGATTTTTCAGGTTTTTCCAGTTCAACTGGATTTCTCGGTGGTCGAACAGATGGGGGCTCTACGGTGTTCATTTCTTCTGATTTCGATTTCTGGAGATGTACTATTTTTTATAATTGAATTAAGAAGTTACTTTTCCTGAATTAGTACTAACTTGAAAGAAGAACTATTCACGAATTGCAGTAATAATCTTGTATTATTGGGATAACTGAGGTTCAGACGGGAAGCATATGAATGTATTTTGATGTAGTTGTGTTCTCGGAGCTGGATGGCTTATTTGCGAAGGTTTTTTTAGTAGTAATATCAAATAAGCAGGAATGTGCTTGACTCATTGTTTCTGTATGTATGAATATCCGACTGATGTGTATGGTGTATATTTACAAATCATCAGCCCCAGTGTATCATTCTTTTTTGTATATTAATTATTGTTTTGTCTACCTTTCAGGTGGCGCCTAACTTAATTATCTGTCCACGTCATTCTCTGGAAGATGGATGTAAACTCTACTGTGCACCGCCTAATATACAACTGGAATTACCACCAGCTGCATTGTTGAAAATGTTTAAGCCAACTAATGTCTCTTGGTGCTTTATTTGTTCTAAAGGGGGACGTATTATATGCTGTGAAAGTTGTCCAGCATCTTTTCATGAAGAATGTCTTAAAATTGATGAGGTAAGTGTTGATTTTATCATTTAGTGTGAGTGCGTGTGTGTGTGTGTGGCGTCGATGGCACAGCGATAGAATGCTCGCTAACCACGGCCCATGTGATCCGGGGTTCGATCCTCGGCCACCGATGCACTCCTTTACGTTGCTAAACTAGTAAGCAATAAGACTGGTAAGGAGGGAAGGTTGGGCATGTGGCTGTCTGCCTGGATTCAACATAGAACTTGGCACCCAAGTGCACCAGTTCGAGTTGCCACGTTCCAAATACCCCACAGAGGTAGACAAGAAGATAAGTGAAGAGAATCAATACAGTCTGACAAGTATACGAGTGAAACAGAATGGGTAATGGTAGAAAGGAATATGAAAGATTACAGAGACTGAATACATCTGCGCTGGCCATTGACAACGATTTTGAGCCATGTCACCTATTGTCTCCGGTTATTGATTCCTAGAGTCCCGAGGGCCCCAACCGGGAGTCTGCATCTCCCTACCTGACCGACTCAGTTTAACTGTCAAGGATTTCATGGATTGATGCCATGTTTGTGGCTAGTAACCCCCCATCCCATGAAAATAAACACCACTGTTACCGAAACTTCAGGCCTTGAGCTTGAAGCCATCCCATGTTCCACTGGGAACGTAAGAGATTTAAAAAGGTGCGTGTGTGTGTGTGTGGTAAAATAAGCTTTTTCGTAAAACGCAGAAGATCTCTCTACATGGAGAGATCTTAGAGGTTGTTGTTTTCTCTGGTTTAGTTAATTTCTCTCGTAAATTCTACATTATCCCTCTGTATGAGATAATAATATTGAATTTAGCAGAGAAGTGAGCTATTGGAATTCTCTAAAAAGTGAAACAATTATCTGTTTGAGTAATGCCCAGGCATACCTATACTTCGTCTCTACAATCAATAATGATTTCAAGTCAAACTAACTAGCGTTGGAGTCTAGGCATAATCCAACTTCGGATCAAATTTGCCGCTTACAATTTACATAGTTCGATCTGGCTATCAGAGCCAATTCAAACCAGATACACCGCTGATATGAACCCGAAACCAAACAAGCGAAACGATCTGATTACCCGAAGCAGCATTACACTACTTAGTGTGGGCTGTATTCAACTACTCACATCAACCAATCAATAGTATATGACATAAATGAACTTTTTTTTAAAGTTTGCGTTAATTATATTACTCAGAATAACAGTAAAAACTGTTCAACTCTGTCATTCAAGTTAGGGGATATAATAATAATATCATATTGCCAAACTAGCGTTTGTGGTTAATTGGCTGGCCTGTGAATTCAAAAGGTCTTGAGATCGATCCCTTCTAAGTTTCCAAACTATGACTGACTGAACAGCTGTCTAGTTAGTGTTCCTTGGTTTTACATAATTATCTAGCACACTTTGGTTATCGATGAAATCTGTATCGAAATTTCATCGTATTCCACTGAACAAGTTGAAGGAAAATGGTTAGTGTGTGTGTAGGCGGCTCAGGTTAGGGATTGCATCCACTCGATGCTATTCAGTTTATACAGTGATAGAGTAAGTGTGGCAATGATGATTTAATGCCGCTCTGAATTGTTTACATGAGGATTTCTGTGTTCTCTCCTAACCTTTTGGGTGTTATTTGAGCAGAGAAAGAGCAAATATTGGTGCAGCAGAATAACATGGATCCGTATCGTTTCGTTGGTTCTCATCAGCTGCATACAACCTATACTCTTTAATAAATAAAAGTCAGTGTTATATTTAACATACTTTTCTCTGTCAACAAGCATATTATAAAAATGTCATAGTGAGATAAACACATCAGGATGACAAGGTGGCTGGTGTAAGCATATATACATATATATATGTACTTATTGTTAGAGGGAAGTTTCTAGAAAATTAATTGACTGAGGCTATCTCAACAAAGCGGCGCCCAAAAGGAATCTGTTGTTGAGCTCCAGTTACCGTGGTGAGTTATCCCATAAATAACTCTTTGTTTTCTTATTTCACTAACTTACCTTTTCAACTCACCTTTTTTCTGTCTGACTATCATAAGAGATAATTCTTCTTGACCTTATGAGTTTTACTCATCATATTACGTCATCTTCTTTTCACTTGACATCTTGCACACCAAATTTCGATCTTCTTTTATCAAACTACGTAACTGTTACTAAATTTTTTGTTACCACCCTAACAACAGATTTGTCAATTAATTTTCGAGAAACTTCTCTCTAAAAAGATATATATATATATATCCAAATTATAATACCTCAGCCACCTTATCATCCTGACATTTTTATCTCACCATGTTTGTTGATAGACAAAAGTATGTTAAATTTTTGCTCTGACTTTTATTTATTGAAGATTATAGGTTGTACACAGCTGATGAGAAACAACGATATAAAATGGATCCAATATCTGTTCTTTCTCTGTTCAAATTTATGAAAGGTAATTCTTGTATGATATTATTATTATAGTATTGTTCACTTAGTTTCCCAGGTGAACACATCTTTACTTTGTCGCATTCTCTACGATCCTCTTTTAGCTGGCCCTACGATTGCTCAGAGTCTCTAATCTTCTCCTTCTCACACGATCTCCTGCATGTCACTCTTAGACACAGGCCGAAATCATCGTTACCCATTTGTGTTCCACTCAATCGAGTTCCTAGCGTGCGATATCATTCGGTATCTTTCTCAGCGTGTCTGATCCATCTCCATTTTCTTCACACTCTTCATGGATCAGTAGGTTCTTGATCGAACACTCCCTCGAGTTTCTTGCTGCTAGTTCTTTCTGGCCATTTGATCTTCAGTGTAGAGCTATTTGAAGGCAGTGTTGATGAAGGTCTACTACTGGCGTTCGGGGAGGCTCTACTTGACGCAAGCACCAAGTTCCTAAACTATTTAGAACAACTGATTCAACATGTGTTGAAAATCTGAAATTTTACTTTATGCTGGGTGTAGAAAATTTCTGAACTGATCTCAGAGTGATAAAGGTCTGACTTGCCTTCCTGATTCTGGTTTAGGCATCCTCATCAGTGCTGACGGTATTTGAGAAGATGCTTTATAAATAAGTGAAAAAAGTAACCTATGTCGAATTTCTTCCGTTGGTAGTGATTGGTGTTTGTTGTTGTTGTTGTTGTTGGTTGGTTATCTTCTTCACCTCCCTATGTTCACTTAGAGTTCTATTTTCGCCGCCTGCCTCTCCTGTCACTTTGTTGGTTTTCGCCTGTAATTCTTCTAGTTTGTGTAACACGAAACATAAATCTTTCACGCGCGAAATCCAGATATTCTCGAGTCTTCTTACCGGTCCCAGTGTAATCCTGTCTTCTCGCTCTCCATGCACTATGTTCCGCAGTATCTAGTCCACCACAACCGGGAATATCATCGATGATAATACACAGGCAGTCTTACTCTTGTATACCTTTTAAAAGTTTCTGTGAGTTTTCCTTTATGGATCATCTGACACGTGGAATTGTCATTATAGAGAACTTTTGAGTATCCTATTTATTAAATATATGTGCTGTAAGTAAGTTGAATTCGGGCTGTTCATCTCACAAAATTACGGTCTACCTAAAAACACACAATGGCAACAGTGAAGAATTTTTTTTGATTTTTACAGCTTGATTCCACACTGTATTCTCTAGTACAGGTATGGAATTTTCAGCATGGATATCGGTAGCCCAAATTTTGCAGGCCGACCATAGATATCAGGTGTGCGTCGGTGCGGGCTCGAACCCTGGGCCATGTGTGTGGTCGGCGAAAGTCCTAACCACTGTGCTACTGAATAGATGCCAAAGCCAAATGACCTTGCACCAGTCAATCAGATCGCTCAGCATTGTCTGTCTGTCTCTATCTGTTTTCAACACAGAACTTTGCACCGATGTGCAGCATTTAAAAGTCGCCACTCTCCCTCCATGTAGCACACAAAGCAAGAGAAGAAAGTAAAAAAAAAATGCAAAACAGAGACAGTAAACAGGGATATGAGGCAAAAAGAATAGTAATGCCGAAGAACCATGTGGTTTTAATGGATATTATAAGTCACAAGGGGTGAGTGTATTTGCACCGTCATTGATAACGAGGATGTTAAGCCACATCACTAATTACCTCCAGCCTTCATGGGATTTTACAGTCCCGAGGACCCCAACCAGTCAAGACGTTTACACCTCCCTACGTGGCTGGCTGGCTTAAACTAGCTGTTGTGGATTTCATTGACTGATGGAGCCATGTTTTGGTTTGACCACCACTCACTACCTCTTTTCCAACCTGATTCATCCTGTGTCAGCTAACATTGCCTACTGTCAAGGAAAGCGATGGCTAGGCATACATAACACATGTTCTAACCACCTCAATCGTTTATTGATTTCCCCTCCTTACATAGCACTCGACCGAAGCCCAACCTCAATATTGCTCACCCTATTATACCTTTTCATACGGGAGATAGAACGCAGGTACCTATGATCAATGACATCAAAGAGCATTATGTAATCGCTTAGCATTAGAAGAAATTGATGCTCTTCATAATTTTCGTTGCAACTTTTACCCTAACCTCAGTGTGATAAACCGACCTTCATCATAACCCTAACCTTAACCTTGAATCAGTATGAAACTTGCACAGAAGGTTATGAAAAGCGTTGATCTGTAATGTCTGATTGGTTTGTTCAATGTTATTTAACTTTGGTCTGTCTGTCTGTCTGTTTCCGACATAGAACTCTGCACAAATGTGCGGAAGTTCAAGTCGCCACATTCTGTGCAGCACGCGAAGCAAGAGAAGAAAGTACAAGAAAAACATAATAGAAACAGTGAGCAGAGGTGTGAGACAAAGGAGTAATAAAGAAATACAAAACAGTTTCATTGAAGATCATAAGTCACAGGGAGTGTATCCATCTGCGCCACTGAGAACGGTTTTGAGCCATGTCACCAATTGTTTCCAACCATAGATTTTTACCGTCCCGAGGACCCCAGCCTGGAAGTCTACACCTTTCTACGTGGCTTAGACCAACTGTTGTGGATTTCATTGACTGATGCCAAGTT